TTAACAACAAGCACTACAACAACAACGATGATGATGATAGAGGTGATAATGGAGGTGATGATGATGATATCATTCATGATCTCCATTCAAATACCTTTCACAATAGAGGTAATTAAAATAAGTAATATTTATTAATTGAATGAATAAATTAACATAATTAATTAATATTAATTAATCAATTAATATTAATTAATTATCTAAAACTTTTAGTGATTGCTTATAATTATGAATAAAAGTATTATTTTGCTAATAGTAAGCTAATTATCTCATTCATTTGTTTAGTCATCCAATTATCCATCTATCTTCATGAATTCATTTATCTATCCGCCTATCCATTTGTTAATTCATTCACATATACTTTTTAAAAATATTTTTAATCTATCCATCTATCAATGAATCTTTGTATATTTATTCGTTCGTTCTTTCGTTCTTTCGTTCATTCATTCATTTTCAATCATTCATTTATTTGTTTATTCATTCAATCATTCCTTCACTCGTTCAATCGTTCTTTGGTTCGTTCATTCATTCATCAATCAATCCATCCACACTAATCCAAACATCATTCAAAACTTCAATCACGGACAAAATAATGTCAAATCAGCTCAATTATAACCGGGAGACTGAGAAAGCGAAAAAGGAAAGGAAAGAAGAGAAAAATAAATAAAATGAAAGAAGAGAGAGAAAGAGAGAGAGAAAAGGAGAGAAAAAGGAGAAAGAAAGAAAGAAAGAGAGAAAGAAAGAGAAAGAAAGAAAGAAGAGAAAGAGAGAATTAAAAATTTGAACAAGAATGAAATATGCCTAGTGTATATGTGTGTGTGAGTGTGTGCGTGTGAGTGTGTGCGTGCGTGTGCGTTTGAGACACATGAGAATTAATTAAAATTAATTAAGAGAGTCTTAGCAACAATAATGGTAAAACACAAACCAATTTATATCACACTGTGGGTTTATTTTTGGCATATAAGTATTGAAGAATTGTGTGTATTTGTGTGTTTAAACTGGTTAAAATACGGCACTGCCAGAGAGTGAGAATGGACAATACAAGAAGTGAAATGGAACGTGTTGATGAATGGTAATTGGCATCATTAGTAGTCATCCATCAGCATATACTTCTCGTCATAAACTCATTTATTTGTGTGTTTGTGTTTGTGTGTGTGTGCGTGTGTTTGCGTGCGTCTGTGTGCGTGTTTGTGTATGTGCATACCTGTACAAGACAATCATGTCCACATACAAATTTGTATTCATGAATGATGTATAGGCATGTGTGTGTGTATACATATGACGTATGCATGTAGGGCGTGTGTGTGTGTGTGTGTGTGTGTGTGTTTGTTTGTGTGTGCGCGCGCGTTTGTTTGTTTGTGTGTGTGTATGTATGTGTTTGTGAGTGTGTCTGCGAAACATTTTTACCTAGAGGTATAATTTAGTGGCCTCATTAACAAGGTATTTATCTTAATCTCCATTAATTTTTCTGTTTGTCGTGTCTACGGACATGAATGACACCATCGCGGTCACCACCACCATCATCTCTACCACCACCATCTTCATTATTATCATTATCATCATCATCATCATTATCAGCACCTCCACTATAATTATCATCATCACAACCATCATTTCTACCACCACCATCATTATCATCATCATCATCATCATCATCATTATTATTAGCACCACCACCATACTTATCATTATCACCAGCTTCAAATTGGGCCGCCCACGACCAACCGCCACACCACCAAGCGGCCGCGGCCACTCTTGCGACACCGTCGTCGTTCAAGCCTAAAAAGACTAACAAACTTCACGGGTGGAAAAGAGGTTCATTATTATTATCATTAATATTATTATTATTATTATTATTATTATTATTATTATCATTATTATTATTATTAAAATTATAAAAATTTTGGTTTTATTTCTGATTAAAAATGATTATCTTTATACCGAAAACTTGCAGTCGATTCCAACTACTCGAGGAATCTGAGACTATCACCATCATCTTCTTCTTCGTCTTCATCATTACCATCCTCATCATCCTCTTCATCATCGTTTGCAATGCTACTATTATCATCACCGTCATCATCTTCGTCGTCGTCATTTCGGTTTCTGGTGACGACAAAAGTGGTGATGTTGCTGATGGTGCACGCTCTGATCTGGTGCTCATTTAGAGAATCTACTAGGTTAATAACGATTCCGCTATCGTTCGTTTCATCATCGTCATCATCATCATCATCGTCGTCAGCAATGACGTCATCATTGTCTTTTTTTTTAACGCCGGCATCATCGTCAACATCGTTTCCACTACCACCACCATCATCTTCGTCGTCGTCATCACCAAATTTTTTAAGGACAGTGTCATCATCATCATCCGTATTATCACTTCGTATCAAAATTAAACCGTCTACATTATCAACTTCACCACCACTGGCATCATCGTCGTCACCATTGCTATCTTCATAGTCACTCTAACTATAATAAATACAGTCCAGGGGAATGATATTAAAATGCGAATGATGACGATTTGTTTCTTGATAGGGATGTGATGATAAGATGATAAGGTGTTTGAGTATATTTATATTTGTGTATACGTGTTTGTATGTCTATTTGCATGTGATGTATATGTATTTGTGTATATTTGTTTGCGCGTGTGTGATAAGCTGATAAAATTTTAACTGCTGCTTGCCACCACCACTGATGATGATGATGACGACGACGACGATGCTGATGATGCTGATGACGAGAATTATTATTCGTGTATTTATAAATATTATATTTGTAGGTACTAATGTAACCCTCGTTTTAAGTATTGTAATAAAGATTATGATATATTTTATTTGTAAAATAATAATTCATACCAAACACACACACACACAAACAAACAAACACACAACGCAACACATTATATATATATATATGTGTGTGTGTGTGTGTGTATGTGTGTGTGTGTATGTGTGTGTGTGTGTGTGTGTGTGTGTGTGTGTGTGTGTGTGTGTGTGTGTGTGTGTGTGTACAGTTACGTTGTACAATGGAGACGAAAAAAAAGTGTTGTACTAGGATATACATATATACGTATATATACGTATATCAATCGATATTAGTGAAATTATTATTATTGTCGTTTTTATTATTATTATTATTATTATAAATATTGTTATTATTATTATTATTAAATGTTAACCAGTGTAAATTTCATAAAAAGTTTTGTTATTTTTTAATTAATAATTTGTATTTTATTAATTATGGTTATTTTCTGTGAAGTTTTTACAATGAATGATGGTAGAGTTATCGACCAATTAATCAGTCAATCAACCAATCAAAAACTTGTCAATTAATTTCATTTATTGTGAATTTTGTTACAATTTTATAAATTATATCAAATCATCAAATAAATGAATAGAAAAATAAATAAATAAATAAACAAACAAATTAGTTTTTTCTCTATTTGTCTTAAATGAAACATTTAAACAACCTCAGATGGTGCGAGATCTCATCACATGTATTAATAACTATAATTAATTAGAACTAATTATAATTAATTTTTTATAATTAATTATAACTAATTATAATTAATATTTTAATAACTATTAACCCATTTTTGACTCTTGCCACTTCCGCCCGTTTGGATTATGATTTATATTTTTGAAATTAATTAATTAATTACTTGTCATATTTTTATTTATAACCATTAAATGATCCATCAAACCTCAAAAAATTTAGGTCATTTAGAATTATTGGTTAGCTGCATTTTTCACATAAACTCTTAAACGTTTAAAAAGATAAAAGAGCGAATCATTCAACCAATCAATCAATTAATCAAAAAATCAATCAATCAATCAATTAATTAATCTACCGAACAATCAACCAATCAACCAATTAATCAGAAAATCAATCAATCAATTAATCTACCGAACAACCAACCAATCAATCAATCAGCCGAACAATGTGTCAATTCATCAATCTCAAACGTGTAACCAAAAAATTGTAATTTAACTTTTCTATAAAAAAAATGGCAAAGTACAATTTATAGGACGTCAGTGTTTTGCCATTTTTTGTCATTTCTTTGACATTTATATAAATTTCAATTTAAGTGTGAAATCTCATTTTCTCACGCACAAAATAAAAGTTTTTTTCAAATTTTATTCCACACAAAACTTGCTCAACGTCTCTTTAAAATAATTTTACAATTTTTCCATACAATTAAACGAACAAAGCTGCGAAATGCTCCTGTCAGTTTTCTAACTAGCATGATTTATTAATTCACCAAAAATGAATGAGCGGATGGTTGAATGAACGGATGAAGGGATGGATGAATGAAGGAATTGATGAATGAATAAATGAAGGAAGGAAGGGAGGAAAGAAAGAAGGAACGAATGAATTTACCCCACTCTGCTTCAAAATAATCATTTCGTCACTAATCTTCGTTGTCTGATTGATATCCAACAAGAACTTACGACGTTTGTAATATATTTTTCTTTCAGAAAATTGTATCCCAGTTCATTGAACTCTGACAAGAAACGTCACTTTGACCAATAGCTACACCAATTTGTTAACCATAAAAAGGTTGATTGGTTGGTTGGCTGGTTGAGTGATTGATTCAACATCCTGCTAACCATTATAATTATTATTAGACATCTTTATTCTCATCTTCTCTTCTCTATTCTACGGCTCCAAATTTAAACTTTTAACTAATTTAAACTCGAAAAATAATTTTCTGAAAAATTTTATTGAATAGAAACTTCAAAATACGAGAATGATTAACCTCCCAAACTATCAATGATTACAAACATCTAACGAGTGAAAGAGAAGTATCAATGCTATCGAATATCATTCATTGTCCAACATTTAAAATTAAAAATCGTTTGTATAAATCTATAAAGACGATCGAAATATTTAGTAATAGTCAGTTTTTAATGGTCTCTTGCGCCAGTAGAGTGTAGTACAAGCACGCATCACCAACGATCGAGCAATGGAAACTTCGAGAACATTTATTTCCCCTCTATGTACTTGATGGGAATGTTCCTCTCAGTTGGTTTGAGGTGGGGGGCAGGTGCTTCAATGCTCAGCACCCCCTCCTTCGACATGGTCGGCTTGATCTGGTCGGCCTTGATGCCGTCAGGGAGAGCGTAGTGACGCACGTAGTAACGGTGGGACACTCCGGAGTCGGTCTTGGTGCCCGTCTCGGCACGAACCTGTCGGGTGGGTGTTGGTTTCCAACTATGAGTCACCTCATCATTCGACACTTTCACACACACATACACACACACACACACACACACACACGAAGTTCAACAAATTTCATCGAAACCATAGAATATCGCTCGATCGCGACATCTATGGGTCAAACTTAATTTTTTAAACTAGGCGATTTTCCGCGCTATGCAAAAACAGAAATTAAGAACAAAAAAAATAATTACCTGCAGGACATTGTCCCCAACAATTTTGACTTGCACCTCCTCGGGTTTGAAGCCCTTCACGTTGAAGTCCAACTTCAACTTGGTCTCACCGTTCTCCTCGACGATGGGGGCAGCCGGGTTGAGCTCGGCGAGGGCCTGCGCCTCACTGGCCGGTTCGTAGTGGAGCACCTGATACATCTGCTTGCGCATCTGGGACAGCTCCTTGTCCATCAAGTTCCGCAGCTGCACCATCTGCCTTTCGATGGACTGCATGCGTTCAAGTGGAAGATTCATTTGTGAGATTCATTTGTGAGAAATATTTAATTCATTTCGCGAGCCGACTATTAACCATTCGCCACTGTTTAAAACTTTCTTAAAACAAAATCAACCAACTGCCAATCAAACCACATTCAACATCAAAAACTTCAAAAAAACAAATGAAAATTAGAAAAGACGACTGACCATGAACTCGTTCTCCATGTGGCTCCTGAAGGGATCAAAGTAGTTGACGTTCCTGCTAACCACCGGAATGAATCTTTCGAGTAGTGACATCTTCCTGAAAACAAAATTCCCAGTTTGCCACTATTAATAATTTATTCGGCACTTCCACACAAGACCCTTGCAAACTACATAAACTCTGCTTATATTAAACTAAATTAGTCAAAAAAAATAATTAAAAATTTTAATCACAAAACAAATAAAATTGACACAACGTACCTTGCTAGAGGTATGAGATACCTATTCAGACGAGTCAAATGTTTCGCAATGATAGCTAATCACAAGTCAAACGAACGCAAAAGACCGAAGATATTTTTTCGCAATTGAGAGCGTTGGGTCCCTCCTCGTTTTTATAGCCCGGTCGAACGAACGACGCCATGCATCTAGAGGATTCCCGAATCTACGTAACGTTCTAAGAATAGAACCTCATTAATAATTTATGCACTGTGTATGCAAAGACGTTTGCTATTGGTCGCATGTTATATGCGTATTATTTAACAGCCGATCTGATTGGTCGATTTAATGCGCAGCTGACTGATCTATCTAGAACGTTCTAAAAATAATCATCATCAGCTGAGTTCTTTTTTTTCGGTTTTTCCAGTTAGGTCGTTCAACTCTTCTAGCATTTAATCTTGCGTGTTTCTAGATGAACCGCGCACATTCTCAACACTCATTCAAACATTTCACGGCTATATCAATATATGTGTACCACGTACCAACCAAATTATATCATATACATTATATAATTTATGTATTATAAGTTACATATGCTAGCGTGATAGCAAATGGAATAAAATTAAACATTCAGAATTACACATTCACATGTACTGCGTGTGTATAAAATATATTGATTTGTCTAAAAATATCATCTCTGATGTTTAAATTTAATTGGAACATCAGTCGTCTGCCTCAGGCAAGTCTGTGATTATTAACAAGCACTTGCATTAATAACTATTTGTAATATTATATTTAATATTAAAACCGTTGTTCATCTATAAGTAAAAACGTGGTTATATGGGTTATACACACATATGAGAACTTTCTAAGTCATTCATATATAATTAACACAATTACCATTCATCATCCACAAAACGTGTCAAGGACCTCACCATATGCACGCACACACACACACCACACTTACTAACACAACACAACACACATACACAAACTTGCACATACCCACAAACAGGTATATACACAGACACACATACATACATACATGCATGCATACTTAAACGATAGAGAGAGTTCATTGACCGATAGAAATTCAAACCAGGCAGCAGAACTCATAGCCACACTCAACAACACTGATCTAACTTGGTTAACATTTTTTGTGTAATTTTATCACAATTCTCATCGCTACTGCGCGTTTTAACTTTAAAAACCATGTCATTTAATTTTTAAAATCGAAAATTACATTTTATTTGCAAAAAGATTTTGAGTAATAATTACTTGATTTAGTGCGTTTGTATGTACGTATGTTTGTGTGTTTGGTTGAGGAGGAAGGGGTGAGGCCCTACAAGCCCCATATTGGAATATCTTACATCCAGTTCAAATGCTATGCTACCTCTTCAAACGTTCATCATTCACGTTTTTAACGACTTTTTCAGTTTGTTCCGCCTCTACAAACTTTGCTCCCAGCACAGCACCAGCTATAACCACCTTCATTTTCTCAACCAAATTTAATTTAAATCATTTACAGGATAATATTATACACGATTAATTTACAATTTATTACATGGAAAAATATAAAATAAAATTTTTTAAAAATATAAATTTTTCTAAAAAGAGAGCGAAGCAGTAAAATGTTCAGAAATAAAAAATTATACATAATGTTTAGAAATAATTTTTATCAAATTTAAGGGTCTTGATCAAAAATTAACCTAAATAAAATCAATTTTACGTCCACAAAAATATACATAAAAACATTAATATGGATATTATATATATACACAAAAATATACATAAAAACATTAATATGGATATTATATATATATATATATATATATATATTTGTGTGTGTGTGTGCGTGTGTGTGTGTCTACTTTATTAATTCACTTGAGAAGAAAAGAATGAATAGCGTAATAATAAATACTAACAAACATTTGCAATACGCAGAAAACGCAATACAAAAAAAAATGAAATATCTGTTTCTGAATGATGATTCGTGACGGCACATAAATAAATACAGAATACGTTAAATGAACTGAACAAATGACAAAATGAAATAAGAAAAAAGTTAAAAACAAGATCTAAGGAACGAGAACAATACGACATAACCAAGGCTTCTTAATGTTTTATTAACTTACCAAAAACCTTTTTAACCCCACTATTACTGCCTCCACCACTAGAAGCGCCACCGCCACTAGAAGCGACCCCACCAGCTGCAGAAACGCCCCCACCGTTACCACCACTATTGATGTAATTTTCAATTAGTTCGTGTAATTCTTTGAAGGTGATTCTCTTCTTCTGGTCATATTGCCAGCACTGTGACATGAGGTTAGACATGAATAGAGGACAGCATGCGGGAGGTGCTAGGCGATGGCCATTCTCGATGAAGTTTATTACCTGTGTGTGTGCGTGCGTGTGTGCGTGTGTGTGTGCGTATGAGTGCGACATAGCATTCATCTGCGTAACATTAGCTGTATCTAATCAAATCGAGTTGTAAGTAAGTCTCACAGGGCATTGCAAGACGATGAAATGTACACAAATATGAAAAAATAATGAAATTTCAAAATTTTTAACATCAGCGCCGTTCATTTCGCCATAAGGCTGGTCTCCAAGTGAGTAAATTTCCCAAAGGGTCACTCCATAGCCCCACACATCACTGGCGCTCGAGAATGTTCCGTAGTTTATGGACTCGGGAGCGTACCTTCGTTTGTTTGCAAACATTTGAACATTATTAACCAACCGGGCAGAAAGAAATGAATCCATCAGTCAGACAGTCAGTCAGTCAGTCAGTCAGTCAGTCAGTCAGTCAGTCAGTCAGTCAGTCAGTCAGTCAGTCAGTCAGTCAGTCAGTCAGTCAGTCAGTCAGTCAGTCAGTCAGTCAGTCAGTCAGTCAGTCAGTCAGTCAGTCAGCCAGCCAGCCAGCCAGCCAGCCAGCCAGTCAGTCAGTCGTCAGTCAGTCAATTAATCTATCAATCGATCAACCAACCAACCAATGAATCAACCAACCACTTGACTGGCCACTTCCCGCCTTGGTGCGCCCTGTAATAATCACATCCCTCCATTGCTCTCGATAAGCCGAAGTCGCAAATTTTCGCCTGTGTGACGTTTTTATAATAATAATAACAACAACATTATTAATAATAACAAAAATAACAACGATAACAATAATCATCTTCATCATCATCCTCGCTCACTAATTTTTTACTGGCCAGTAGAATGTTGCGTGTGGCTAAGTCCCTGTGAACCATACCCTCCTGCTCCAAATACATCATACCTGCATCATAATAATAATAATAATGAGAACATTCTTTTATTTTAATTTTAAAACAAACATTGTTACTATAAAGTTAAAACAATAAAACCTATAATGTAAATTATATAGATATTCTACAATGCCCGCCATACATTTTAAATTGGCACAAAGAGAAATATTAATAGAATCAGCTTAAATAAATTACGTTCAAATCGTGTTCCTATCACAGTAAATTGCGTAAGATGACGATACTACGGAATTAATTAAACTTCTATGAAAAGGGTCAGACCAAATAAAATTAATTAATGATAGTTTAAAGTATTTAAAAAAAAAACCTAGCGGGAAAATTTCAAATGAATTTATTATAATATTTGAGCTTTTCAATTCGTCTATCAAATTGTTATTAAGATTTTATTTTAATAATAATAATAATAATAATAATCAAAGTATCATCATCATCATTGTCAGCAGTAGCAGCAGCAGCAGCACCTGAGCTAATTTGTTCGGCCCAGAGAAGTACATCGACATCGAGGTTGATCTTCTTTGGGTAGTCCAGCAGGAAATCCTGTAAGGACCCCATTGATAATAATTCCTGTACCTGGTGACGATGATGATGACGATGATGAAGATTTGAAGTTGTGATGATGATGATGATTGGTGATGATGATGATGATTGGTGGTGATGATGATGATTGGTGGTGATGATGATGATTGGGAGTTGTGATGATGATGATTGGTGATGATTGGAAGTTGTGATGATGATGATGATTGGAAGTTGTGATGTTGATGATGATTGGTGGTGATGATGATGATTGGTGGTGATGATGATGATTGGTGGTGATGATGATGATTGGTGGTGATGATGATGATTGGTGGTGATGATGATGATTGGTGGTGATGATGATGATTGGTGGTGATGATGATGATTGGTGGTGATGATGATGATTGGAAGTTGTGATGATTGATTGGTGGCGGTGGTGATGATGATGATTGCGGTGGTGATGATGGTAATGCTTAAGAGGACGAAGTAAACAACGGTGATATAGTTGATGATAATAGCATTTAGTCGTGCTGGTCAAATTCAATATTACTTTTTTTATCCAAGCCACCAACCGACCAATCAATCAACCAATCAATCAACTAACCAGCCAAAAAATCGATCTATCAACCTATCGATCAGCCAGCCAGCCAACCAACCAACCAATCAGCCAACCAATCAAACAACCAGCTAACCAGCCAATCAACCAACCAACCAACCAGCATAAGAGGTGGTCCTTGACAAATGCCAATCAATTTGACGATATTTGGGTGGTCGAGTTTGACCATAATTTTGGCTTCTGATAGGAATTCATCTTTATTCGTGGTGATGTAATTATCATGCAGCGTTTTTATTGCTACCGGTATCTAAAAGATATATATCATACATATGCGTGTGTGAGTGTATGTGCCTGTACGTATCTACGTGTATGTATGTGTACGTGCGTGTTTGT